CTGTGCTGCCATTTCCCCAGCCCAGGGGAGGGGGAGGGGCAGCGCTTGGAGCCACTTCCTCCCCCTGCCAGGCAGAGTCTGAGGGCTGGACCCAGCTCCAGGCTTGCCTGACTCCAGCGAGGCTCGGGGCAACGAGGCTGCAGGGCTGGAGTGCCAGCACCGGCTCCCCAGTGCTGCAAGGGTGCCGGGAGAGCTGGCTCCAGACAAGTCGAGGGCTGGATCCGGCTCCTAGCCTTAGGTTCCCCACCCCGAGCTCGGGGAAGCCGTTCTCCAGTTTAGAACCTGCCTCCCATCTACACCCTGAGCCCCTGGGCCATTTTCGGGCCAGTGACCCGCATGCTAGGAGCTGTGGTGGAAACGATGCCCCCAAGAGGCGGGGACTCCAGCTGCCTGCGCAGAGCAGCCTGGGGGGCAGATGCCCTGCCTCACAGACTTTGGGCATGGGTGATCCTAGCCAGTGCTTATTTTGTTTAAAAAAAAAAAAGTGCCAGTACTCCAGTTGTTGAGCAAAAAAAAAAGATGGGGTGGGGCCGGCCTTGCCCTTTTAAGACAAGCAGCCCCTTTAAGACACACGGCCCAGCCGACTGTCGAACATTTGCCTGTAGAGAGGTGCTGGTATGCTTATGCTCTGTTCTTTCCAGGTAAGCGCTGACTGGAGGTTCCAGTACAGTGTCCTGGGCAGTACCGTCACAAAAAAGCCCTGATCCTAGCACCTTTCACCAACATTGAGCCTGGATGGAGGAAGTCTTCCTCTCTCTCTCCGGCACCTGCCTGTTCCCTGGGCTGCCGAATTCCAATCTGCTGACGGCCAGGTCAGCTGATAGGGCGAGGCCCCGCCCAGACAGGCAGCACCTGCTCTTATAAAGTCACCGGCCCGTGGGAGAGGCAGGTAGAGCGTGCAGGAGAAGACACCTGCTCCGGAGCTGTCCCACAGGTAAGGAGGGATGCCCCTTCTGCATGGCTGTGGGTGGGATGTGTGAAGTGTCACCCTGCTTCCCCCACTCCACTTCCCCTTCTTTGGGGTGTTTGGCGTCCGCAGGGTTGGGAATCAAATCCTGGGGCGTGTGATGGGCTCCAAGTCAGCCCAGTTAGTCGTAGTATCCCAGGGCTGGAAGGGGCCTCAGGAGTCCTCGAGTCCAGCCCCCCGCCCAAAGCAGGACCAGCCCCAACAAAATCCAGCTGAGACCTAAAACCTCTAGGGATGGAGATTCCACCACCTCCCTAGGG